TCTCTTCCTCAAAAGATCAAGGACTGTAACGTGTCCTGTACCATACCAGTCGGTCGGTACGGGTGGTTTGAGTGGTTTAGCTATGCTGCCGATGTCAACAGCAGAGCAGCAAGCCTTGTTCAAGCGCTCAAGTTGTGTGCCATTGGGATCACTACAGTGCCGTCAGAATTCACCATCCACACACCCAGAAACGGCCATATGCTGTGCTTGTTTACGCAACAGCTTCATGGTGGCGCAAACTGTTGGTTGTCTGATTCGGCCCTTTCGTTTTCAGCTCACTTATTCAGACGGCGAATCTCGGTTCGTGGTCTCGCTGATGGATGCGCAACTTGCGATATCTACACTGCCTTGGACGCTGGAAAGACGTTCGGAGAGGACGAGACAACATCTTCTTGGCGAAGCTATGACGTCACTCAAGGACCCCTACTCTTTGGTAAGCTTTCTTGGCATCTACATTGTCTCACTCACGACGGTTGAGCACTTGCTTCCATCAAGAGCCATCGCCAAGAGTGTGGTACCTCTATTTTGACCGGAATCCCCAAGGTAGACATTTGATTCAAGAGCACTGAAGTACTAAGGGGTCAGGACTGAGGACCTTGCTATCACTAACCATCTGTCCTAACCTCCGTCGTATACTCCGCAAAATACTGCATCACGGCGAGAACATCAGCGATCTGGTCAGGTGTTCCAAGTGAAGTTAGCCATATCCGGCCACTTGGGAAAGGAGCTTCTGTTCCCTGCATCAGGTCAACCGACCAAAGCATGGGTGGTGTGATGGGATGGCAATGAAGGAACCACAGCTGCAACGGGAACCGGGAGTTCGGCGCAGAATCAGGCAGTGGACCAGCACACATATTCAATTTGGTGGGTGAGAAACCCCATGGGGATGACAGGGGATGGCTTGGATGGCTTGAGCCGCTCTGGGGAACCTAGTAGCCTCCATACCAGCATGACGAATGTGAGGTCACGAATAGCTGCGCCGCAGAGTTTCGAAACAACGTTCCCCTTGTGAAAAGAGCTGACTTTTACAATGTGGAAGACCACCAGTCACAGGCGTGAGCTGTCGAGGTTTTACTTGTTCCTGGAATAGGTATGTAACGAAAGAGAAATGAGAGAAAGGTGGACAGTCAGCAACATGGAAGGTCCTTGAGGGGTTCGAGACAAGTTCATTCCAAGTGGAAGATTGCCGCCAGACTCGAAGTCGGTCTGCTGGGCAACCCGAGGCTGGAGAATAGTCGGTAGGATCCAGTGATTTTCCTGGACATCGATGTCCCTTCCCATCCGAGGTCACGGGGTTATTGCATGTACGATCCCTACTACTTTTAATTTATGTGAACGGTTGTGCCTCCCCCAACTTCCTTCTTCGGTCACGATCGGCTGCAGTGCAGCACCCGGTAGGGAGGTGGTCAAAGCCCTTGGTTCGATGTCCGAGACTGGTTACCATGAGCTGCTGCAGAATGGCAGAGCTCCGAATGTCGAGGAAGTCCTAGCCATCCAACTCACCAAATAGAAATGAGCAGGGCAGCCGTGGTCTTGGGTACTTATGGGAGAGAGCAACCGGTGTTGTTTAACAATTGCACATGCACCGCTTTTATTCTTCCCTACCGGACGTCTGCCTTTATGCCCCTTGAACAGCCGCATCGAGTCCAAGTCTCCGGGTAACTGTACCTCTGCTGAACACAGTCGGCCTTGTTATTATCAGCCCGGTTGACATCTCAGCTCGCAGCCTCGCTCCTTCTCTATTGCAATGCCGCTTCCCAGGAGACCTTGAGCAACACGTACACCAAACCCACCTGATGAGTGCAGTGAATGCCCGAGAGAGAGACAGATTCAACCTGCCTGATTCCTTCCAGGTTCAAAGCAAGTGGAACCCGCTCTCACGCTGCCTCCTGCCCGGGCCTTCACTTGGTTGCCCCTTCACTTTGTCGGAACTCCGTACGTACAGAGCCCCAGGGTCCAGGCTTCACTTGCTGCCGTACTTCGTCTGCTTGTTATCCTTTAAAGCTCCTTTACTTTTCCCCCTCTTCCTCTTCCACCTTTTTTTTTATTTTCTACCGCAAGTCAATCCTTGGCTTTCACTCCCTACCCTTCACCTCTGTTTTCGAGACACTCCTCTTTTGGTTGCCGAAACACCTCCTACAAAACCGCCCACAAAGTATCGCTACTATCAGCTTTCCTCCGACCTTGATAACCGCCTACCTCCTCGACCCTGGTGGTATATGCCTCCATAGCACCCGATTCCAATATACGATTTTGGACCTTGCCTTGGGCAAACCCACGACACGATGTACAAAATCGGCAACATCTACTTCATCGCCGCCGTCGCCGTCATCGGTGAGTCCATCTCCGTCACCACTGCTATGAGTCCATCTCTGCTCTAGCCCGCTGCTTTTCAAGCTAACCACTAGGGGGCAAAAGGCGGCGCGCTATTTGGCTTCGATATTTCTTCCATGTCAGCTATTATCTCGACTCAGCCGTACCTCTGCCAGTTCAACCAGCTCGGCCACAACGAAAAGGGCTTGTGCCTCGGTCCTACCAACGATGTTCAGGGTGGTATCACAGCCGCCATGCCTGGTGGTTCGTGGCTCGGCGCTCTCTGCTCTGGTTTTGTCTCCGATACTTTCGGCCGCAAACGCTCCATTCAGATAGGTTCTGTGATTTGGTACGTGGTCTCCGCCTCAACTACCTCTCGAGAACCAAGGACCTAACCATTTCTTGCAGGATTATTGGTTCCATCATCGTCTGCGCGTCTGTCAACATTCCCATGTTGGTTGTCGGCCGCATCATCAACGGATTTTCGGTCGGAATATGCTCTGCCCAAGTCCCTGTCTACATTTCCGAGATCGCCCTTCCTTCGAAGCGCGGTCGCCTTGTTGGTTTCCAGCAATGGGCTATCACCTGGGGCATTCTGATCATGTTCTTTATCTGCTATGGCTGCTCGTTCATGAAGGGAACGGCCGCCTTCAGAGTTCCTTGGGGTCTTCAGGCCATCCCTGCCGCCCTCCTCTTTCTCGGCCTTGTCTTCCTCCCCGAGTCGCCCCGCTGGCTTTGCAAGAAGGACAGATGGGACGAGGCAAAGGATGTGCTTACCTTGGTTCACGGAAAAGGAAACCCCAACTCCCCGTGGGTGCACCGTGAGATGCAAGAGATTCGCGAGATGGTCGAGTTTGAGCGCGCCAATGCTGATGTCAGCTACTTCGAACTGTTCAAGCCCAACATGATCAACCGGACCTCGATTGGCGTTTTTACTCAGATATGGTCTCAGTTGACCGGTATGAATGTGATGGTATGTCTTCCTATCCTTGCTCCATGTTTCACCAAAGTCATCGCTGACCACCAACAGATGTACTACATAACCTACGTCTTCACAATGGCCGGTCTTGCCGATGGAAGCGAGAATGCCGTCCTTCTCCCTAGCGGTATCCAGTTCGTCATTAACGTCGTCATGACGATACCGGCTCTTCTTTGGATGGATCGCTGGGGCCGTCGTCCGACCCTGCTGGTTGGTGCATTCTTCATGTGCCTCTGGCTCTGTGTCAATGCCGGCTTGTTTGCTGTCTATTCACGACCTGCCCGCCCTGGCGAGTTCACTTCCCCGGCCGAATCCATGGCTATTACTGGCGCTCCAGCCAAAGCCGTCATTGCTTCAACTTATCTCTTCGTCGCATCTTTCGCGCCCACTTGGGGTCCTGTTTCGTGGACCTATCCCCCGGAGCTTTACCCGCTTCGTCTCCGCGGAAAAGCCGTTGCCCTCTGCACTTCCGCCAACTGGGCTTTCAACTTTGCCCTTGCTTACTTTGTTCCTCCTGCTTTTGCTAACATTACCTGGAGAACCTACGTCATCTTCGCTACGTTCTGCGCGGCCATGTTCATCCACGTCTTTTTCATGTTCCCCGAGACCGCCAACAAGCCCCTTGAGGAAGTCGAGGAGATCTTTGACGATACCAAGCCTGGAGGTAAGTTATCACTCCATCATATGAGACGCCCTGTTCTTTTGGTCAAACGTTAATCTGAAACCATTTGTACAGCCATCAAGTACATCGGCACCCCCGCTTGGAAGACAAGAAACACTCGCAATCTTACGCTCAAGCAGGAGCACAACGATACTCTCTCGTCAGAGGAGAAGATTGGCTTTGAGGAGCACGCTCACAAGGAAACCACCGGCAGATGAAACACGATAACAATGCTCACTGCAAGCCTTCAAGGAGCAACCGATAACTGCTCCGAAATATCCGCCTTTGTGGTACGAAAGATGGGGGGCAATCTAGCTCGTGTATTGGTCTTCGAAGTATAAGACATCATCTGAAAGGTATGCTGGATGAAGGAGAAGATTCACAAATAACGCCGTCATTGCGGTGGTTCGACGGATGTATGCTTAGGGAATATCAGCTACGAGAAGTAGTTTTTTCCATTAGCCCTCAATATATGCATCATCTCAAAAAATGTCAAGCCTCGCTTACTCTTGCGAATGAATTGGAAAACACATGACGAGATTATTGCTATTGTGGTTTTCCCGCAAGGTTATCTGCTGCTCACCCGATCACCGGACTGTGCATAGCCGCATCCGTCAAGCTGGTCCTGTCAACGACTTTCGAGATGCTCTCGACTCTTTACTAATCCAGGTAGGTAGACGACACCTTCTGCTTTGTGACGAGACTCATGCCCAGGCAATGTACCCTTGGCCAAGGAATATGCTCCAACTGACTAATATGGTACGTAATCCAGCCCCTCAAGTTGGCTGCAGCAGTACCAATTTTACTTACTCAAACCGGTTTTTCCTTTAAGCGGAAGCTGAACTTTGCGCGATCCCAGCTGTACCTGCATGCCATCTCGCAAACTGTGGTAAGTCATGGTTGAGCCCTATGACAAAGCTTTTCCTGGGCTTAGAAAATAACTGGTTTGGATGAATGAAACTGGTAAATCTTGCATGAAGCTTGCTCATCAGTTGCGAGTTTTTGCCGAGGCATTAGCACCAATACGATCGAAGCTCGTGAGAGAAGATGGAGGAGGATATGTATAAACAGGATGCTCCATGCTGTCACTATGGAAGGTAACTGTTCTACTTCCGAGTCAACCAAGTGGGAGCGTCACTTCATACTCCTTCTCGAGTAACGACGATGAAGCAGACAACAGGCATTCTTTTGTCCGCTACGGGAGCTTCGGCTTTCTACGCGGGCAATATCAACTACTTCTCGCCATCCCTCCGTCACCCATCCCTGGGTATTTCGATTCCCAAGGTTGCGGCAAGGACGTATGAAAGCTTACCATGGAAGCCTGGGCAGCTCAACTTTACACACGGCGTTGCTTCAGGAGACCCGTACGATGACAGCGTCATTCTTTGGACACGGGCGGCACCAATGATGGACAATGACCACTCCAATACCACGGTCAGCGGAACCACAGGGCTGTTCAGCCATGAGACTGCGGAATTTGTGTTCTTCAGCAAGTCCAAAGTGTGTGTTGACTGGAAGATTGCCACGGATGAAAAGTTTGAGAAAGTAGCCGATGAAGGGCGTGTGTGGACAAGTTCGGACATTGACTTTACTGTCAAGGTGAGAAGGGCAGCATTGGGATGGCACGCCATAGTCGAGAGGCTAACTATTTCAACAGGTCGAGGCGAAGAGGCTCTCCCCGTTCACTACGTACTACTATCAGTTTAACATTTGCGATTCCTACAACAACTCGCCGGTCGGTCGGACCAAGACACTCCCGGCAAAGGGCAAAAAAGTTCCTTCTGATATCAAACTTGCCGTGTACTCGTGCAGCAACTATCGTAGGTCTATTGGCTGGCTCATTTGGTAATTCAGCTAACCGTTTGGTCAGCCCAGGGCTTCTTCAACATGTTTGGAAACACGGTGAGGAAGGATTCGGTCGACTTTATTGTCTTTTTGGGTGACTACATCTACGAATTCCAGAACGGACAGTATGGTTGGGGTGATGCTCTTGGTCGCATCCCGCAGCCAGACCGGGTAACATATACGTATGTTGGCACTTTGTCTATTAGTTATTTTTCCGTTATTGACATGTGTCTAGCTTGTATGACTACCGAAGGAGAATTGCGACGTACCGTACCGACTTGGACCTGGTTGCCAACCACATGAAGTTTCCTTGGATTCAGGTGTGGGATGATCACGAGGTATGTAAAAGTTATTGTTGTCCTCGGAGCACACAGCCTGCTAACCACAACTGTGAATCGCAGGTGGCGGACAATACGTGGCGTGATGGAAGCTCTTTTCTGCAGAACAACGAGGACTCTTTCATTAGTGACGGCGGTGTGTCGACAGATAGCCGCAAGGCAAACGCCGTTCGAGCTTATTTTGAATGGATGCCCATCCGTCAGGTAGACATGGATGATGGCCTGCGCATTTGGAGAAATTTCGAATTCGGCGACCTCTTCGACCTCATCATGTTGGACACGCGGCAATATGACCGGTCCATCACCAACATATACACTGTAAGCCACTATTGTCCGCCCCGAGTCTGCATTATCAACTGTACTGACATCCTTCATTTTGCGCTCTAGAACACAGGATACATCAAAGACATCTCCAACGACACCTCCCGCTCTCTCATGGGTCCCCGGCAAGAAGCCTGGTTCTACCGCACGCTCAAGGAATCCTCCAAGCGCGGCACCAAGTGGCGGCTCATCGGCAACCAGATCATCTTCAGCCAGCTGATCGTCAGCAAGGACATGAACCTGCCGTACGACTACGACGCCTGGGACGGCTACGTGGCCAACCGCAACCGCACCTTTGCTACGCTCTACGAGAACAGCATCACCAACAACATCATGCTAGCAGGCGACTCGCACGCGTCATGGGCGTCTGACCTCGTCTGGCTCGACAAGCCCATTGAACCAGGGGAATACGACCCCATCACGGGCCGCGGGGCAATCGGCGTCGAGTTCGCCGTCAGCGCGGTCTCGAGTCCTAGTCCGCTGGGACAGACTGTCACGATGGAGGAGACGGAGACGGACACGAATCTGTTGACGGGCTTTAATAAGGAGCTGCAGTGGACGGATCTGTATTATAGGGGGTACACTGAGTTGTGTATCGGGTATGAAGGGGTGACTGCTCGGTTTTACGGGTCGCCGGATATTAGGACGAGGAACGGGTTTGAGGTGTCTTTGGCGAACTTTACGGTCAAGGATGGGGAGAATAGACTGCAGAGATATGGAGAGGAGATGGTGGCGAGCGTGGATGGGAAAGTGGAGTTTGGAAGTTTGCAGAGGGGGAAGACGGTGACGACTAATTTGACGTATGATACGGAGGAGAAGAGGTGGTTTGTGTTTGGGGAGCAGTGAGGAGGTGGTAGGGATGTTTACGAGCGGAGGGGATGAACGGACAGGTGGTGAGTGGGCAAGGGATATCCAGGACGGGGGGTTATCGAGAATAAGATATCTCGGTTTCTCGTCCCTTGTTTTTAACACAATGGTATTTCTAATAATGCCGGAGTTCTTATGTCTGAAGAGACATGTCTCGGGCTTGGACCGGGACTCTGACATGGGAATATCAGCAAATCAACGGACCTTTGGCTACCAGTTGCTGCCCTCGCTTGCGGCGAGCATGACTGAAGCTTGAACGAAAGAGAATATGGAGAATTGAACCACAGTCACATCACCGATGGCGGAGTCTTCTCCTCTTGCCCCATTGTATATGGAAGTCTGTGCGTGGTAGAAAGCCGGTGACGTTATGAGAGGAGTTGTAGTCCATGCGTCATCTTCTAGTCACCACGTGTTCATCACCAAGCTTAAAAACACGGAATACTCCTATGGTCGACGTTAGTCTCTTGACTCGACTGTTCCAAGAGCATTACGAGTACAAGAGCTCATGATTGGGACTATTTCTTCTCTGACGACAGTCGCCAACTTACTGGTTAGTTTTCTCAATGACCCGATTACACTATTGATCAGACTGAGGAGAAACCAACATCCCGACGCTTGCGTGTTTTCCATGAGACACACGTCTGCCGCATCACGAAACTACCATTCGTATTGCCTCTAGAACCCATCTGTATTGCTGCTTGCCCAGTGGATATATCTCCCGTCGAAACTCAGAACTCAGAACTCCGAGGCAGGGACTCATCACATAACAGCAAGGAATCGGTCAGCGTGTTCCATGAATATCATTGCCCGAACGTGTATAACGAGCTGAAACTCGATCATCAAAGAACCGCCGAACGGAAGCGTATCCTACACACACACACACCATGGCCAGTCACCAAAAGGCCAAAGGCATCTCCGCCACCCTCTCTCCTCCATCAACAAAACCCGCCGATCCAGGTGCCGGTGTGGTTCCCGAAAACCTCTACCACACGACCCTGACGGTAATCGACCACCACGCCACCACCTGCGGCGCCACCACCTGCCTGCAGGTCCTCGGCACGCACACCACTCTCAAGGACGCCCGGGCCTTTGCCTACCACGACGCCCTCCGATCGCTTAACTACCAACCCTACGACTTTGCCATCTACGCCACCCGCGAGAACTTTGGCATGCCTCCTCCTCCTCAGAAAAAAGGGCAAGTACCAACAGCAGAAGCAGTAGCCGCAGCGGTAGCAGCAGCAACAAAGACACCCAAACCCACAACAGCCGCAGCGAAACTTGCGGCGGAGGAGTTGGAAAACGAAAGTGGTTACTCGACAAGCACAGGCACCTCGGACACGGAGAACAACGATGGGGAGCCTCCCGAGGTCTGGCCCTACGGCGACGAAGTGCTCGTGTACGCCAAGGCGCGTGCCGGCGGTCAGGAATTCCTCATTGGCGTCGTCGAGAAGCCCAACACGGAGCATCTGGCTTCGGCGGGTTCCATGTACGGGAACGTTCCCTTGCTACCAAAATCGCACAAGACCAAGACTACTACTGCCTTGCCCCAATCGAAATTTAAATCATCAAAACAGCCACCACTTGGTGCTGCTGCTGGCTTAGAAGCCGAAGCCGAATCAGACGAGACAGAAGAACTCTCGTACGTAATCCAAACCAAAACCGACTACAACCAAGCCCTAGCACCAGGCCAATTCGACGAGCTCGAGGAGCCCGAGCCCGAGCCCATGCCCACCACCACCACCACCACCGCCGGCGCCCGCCGCCATCATCACCCCCCCCGCCGCCGCCGTTCCTCGTCCATCACCCGCCTCTTCCAAGCCTGCGAAATCGAAGGTTGTTTCCCGCACAAGCGCGACGCCGTCGACTTTGCTCGGCGGTGGCTTGACACCCAAAAGGAATCAGGCATGTTCGTCCAGTATGATGAGCGCGAACAGCTGCCAAGGTCTTTTTTCCTCCGAGCCCTCCCGACAGATCAACAACGACAACAACAACAAGAGGAGGAGGAGGAAGAAGAGGAGGACACGCAGCAATGGCCGTTTGGAGAAGACGTGCTTGTGCATGCTGTTGCGTCAACGGGGGAGAATTATTGTGTGGCTGTTAGAACGGTAAAAGGGGCGAAGGAGAGGTTTGGGAAGAAGGTGCCGAGACGGGGCGGGAGGGAGATGGATAGTATGGGGATGGAGATGGATATGGATATGGAGGTACCGAGGGGGTTGGTTAGGGAGGAGGGGATGGAGGAGACGATGAAGGGGCGGAAGGAAAAGTGGAGGATGAGTTATTATGAGGATATTCCCACCAAGATTTGAACATGAGTGGGTTGGTTGGGTCGGGGAATTGAGGGGGTTCAGAAACAGATAGTTAGTTGTAATGGGGTTGTGAATGGTGGTTTGGTGATTCAAGGTGGGAAAAGCGGCCGGAGGATAAAATGGCAAAGGTAAACGGGAGGAATGAATGGGGGTTGAGAAGGGTTGTTGGAGTTGTTAAGTTCGGAGACTGACTGCCCTGGGGTGAAAGGGGAAAAATAATGGAAATGGAGCATAACGAACAAAGGGGGGTTCTGATGGGTTATTTACTGTGTATGCTGTTTGATCGATCCTAGGGTTTGAACTGTGGGTTTTGTTTTTCTTTTTCAGGGGGGGGGTTTTACTGTCTGGGTCGGGTCAGGCAGGGGTCAGGGGGGGTCATGGATCGGCTCGTTACGAATCGGGGAAAGCCGAGAATGGCACGAACACACGACCGTTGGGTTTGACGGCAATGCGAAACAGACTTTTGTTTTGGTTGGTTGCATTATAGGACGTTTTCCACAAGTCGTTGTTTATGCTGGAGCTCGGGATCAAATCGAGGTGTTGGGAGATTGGAGACGAAAGGCTCCATGTCTCGAGTTGGTCAAAAAGAAAGAACAATACGACGTACATTGGGGGTAGGTAGGAACGTTTGGCTTGGCTTCACCAACACTGTCGATCGCTTTTATGAATTGCTGCTTCTGGGATTGTTGGGGGCCCAAACATCTCGTGTTCAGGCAATTGTTATCGTCGCTGTCAGAGCTATCAAACGCCACAAGAATTGAGATAACAGCTGTAAACCTGATATCCAACCACAACTCGCCGGGTGCCTCATTCGTGGTTTGCTTCTTTTGGAGATTGGAAATAGTGAAATAAAAACACCCGTTCAACAAAAGTGGGTGCAACTTTGGTGTTGTATTTGTCGATCCTCCAACCAAATTCCTCATCTAATGCTTCTCTGTAAACTTCCTTTGACAAACCTTTCCCGCAGGCAGAGCCCTTTCCCGTAAACTTCCGGATCAACGTGCCAATCTCGAACATGACGCGTCCGAGGGAAAAAAAGCCACCGTTTTGCGCCATTCCCGTGCATCCCGCGTATCTCTAAAAAGGGGTATATATCATGAAAGGAGGAAAAAGAAAAGCCCGACCGAGCAGCCAACCAACCCAGATTGGTTTTCAACAAAGGGATGAACAACAGACCCCAAAACAATCTTGGGTCCAGCCGTATTGGGTTTCACCGAATGACAATCAAGCATGCAAAAGATGCCTCCAACTCCACTTCCTCCTGCTGCAAGATGACGATGACCTAGAGACGTCTTCGCATGCGAGGAAGTCTTCGATTCGCTGCTTGATATCGTTGGGAAGTGTATCAATGCTATCATTCAGCAAATCCAGACATACTCGTGACGCTAAAAAAAAAAAAAAAACAGTGTTAGACCATCTGTTCATAAACTAGGAGTTTTCACCAGTGTACACGTACGGACAGAAGCGTTCTGCTCGCCAATCTCAATGGCAATGTTCATGCGTGTCGAGTTGTAGCAGCCAAAGGTGCGTTGAATGGCAAGCATGCGCCGCCAGAGGAGCTGGGTGTCGATGTCGTTGTAGTCCCTCATGTCTTCGATGCTGGAGCGCAGGGATCTCGTGCTTCGCAGTGAGCTGGAGGAGGATGATCTGGAAAGCGACGTGTGCTCCTCGTCGTCGTGAGATGATTCGACCGGGCACGGAGTTATGGCGTCCTCGTTGTAATTTTGCGGTGAGGATGCACGGCTGTAGAAACTTGGTCGAGCGCAGATGGTTCGGAGGAAAGACCTTTGGCGAGTTCCAAGGGAGCTGGGTAGGTTTGACATGACTTGAGATGATCGAACCTCGTGTGTTCGAGGTGAAGCTGATGATAAGGTGTGTTGAGATTGTGGACAATAATCCCTGATTGATGTAGAACCTGAATCGGTCTATGTCGACGATACAGTTGGTTTATTCGTGCGGCTAGAGCCGTGTGTTGGTGGGTGAGATTATTTTTGGAAGGTGATCTGTTTTGACGAGTGCGTATATGGCTTGGGTGCAGAAAACTGGTGACAAAGAGAGAAAATGGCAAGACGAAATAACAGGGCCGAAGAGGAGGGTCGTAGAGCTTTTTTATGGACCAGACACGGAGATAAAGAAAGTGAGAAAAAGAAAAAGTTTGTCGTGAGAGTTTGCATGAAGTCCGAGACTGCCTGACATGGGGGTTGCCTACTCGAACTGAGCTGTCACCCTGTTCACTGGGACCGGATCGGCAGCAGGGGGTCTTGAAAAGAAAAGGCGAACGAGAGCTTAATCTCCAATGGGGGGCCCTAAGGCGGCGTTTGCTAGCTAGCTTTGCTCATGCCGCCTCGGTGATTCCATCACCCTCGAGCAAGGAGCGGAGGGGGGTGGGTGGGTTGGTCCGGATGGTCCAGCCGTCAAGGTGAAGCTGCATGAATGTTTGTGTGGAGCACCTTGTTGCTTAGTTCGTCTGTGACTGTGCCATGTAAATGGAATACCTAATCATGGACCCAACCCAACTGTGCCGAGCACAGCCGGCGCGTTTTGCTGACAGCGCGTTTTGCTGACTGACACTGACAGTGACAGAGTGTTGACGAAGATGGAAAAGGCCATCATCCTCTGATGGCGTAGATCTTTTCTCATCGGTTTGCTCTTCTTGAAGGTTAAGCTTTACGCCCTACCTTGACAGTAATCAAACCGCAAAGCATATGCTTGCTTAGGTCACAAAGAGGGAGGGGGCAATCAAACAATCATTCAACTGACCAATGGCTGCCATTGGTTGCGGCATTCATCGATCAACCACCACCACACACACACCTCGACAACAACTTCCTCGCTCTATTCGCTTTCACTCGCCTTATCATCACTTGCTAACAGCAGGGGTGTAGAGCACATCACGCCGCCTTGGGCTGCCGTTATCGCATTTTCACCATTGCAAAAGCCGATCATCTGCCCGGACGAGTGCCGACCCGCGAGCGGTACATGGCGACGGTGACGTTGATTTCTGCAACTCTGATGGCGTGTTGCTCCCATGACGCGGTTTAGTGTCATGACACCGCCCATCCTCTTCATCCTGAAGGACAAAAAGAGGGTATCGCATGATGATATCTGGTCTGGTACATGCATCATCACCTTGGTCTGGATGCGCTGATGGGTGCGTCGACGTTGACGACCAGAAACGACCAGTCTGAACCACGGCAGGGATGGCGGAGCGGGGCATTCATCCATGTCTACGTTCGGACCAAGGACCAAGGACCATGGCATTGATGGCGGCATCGATCCATCTCTGTCGTTCGGTTTCGTTTCCGGCCGGGGTGGTTTCTCTGGTTTTTTTTCTGTGTGTGTCAGGGTGCGCAGATCTCGACCTGAAATAGTTCAAGCTTTGCAATTCTTGCATTCCGGGAAGCTGCGGAACTTTCATCGGTCAAGACTCACAACCGCCCCTCCCGGAAAAAAAAAAAGAATTTTCATTTAGTTGCTTGCGTCCTTGAGCAGGAAGTGGCGGGACTCTCCGCTGAAAGTCCTCCACAAACATCCAAATACTCAAAGGGTTTGCTCAAAGAAAGATCGACGGGAGTCAACAACCATACTACAAAGAGTCATCACGGAGAAGCGAGAGAGGTTTGTAAATCTTGTCTCACTCAGATCGCTCGGCACTTGGAGCGGGTCAGGGCAGATTTAGGGCTGCAACAGTACACTGTATTTCACGGCATCATGTGCCCCCTCCACTAGGTACCTGAACCTGGAAGCCGTCGATCAATCACTGCACTGCAATCGATGACTTCAATTCCGCGCACCACCATGCCAAGAGAGCTCGGTAGTGTACAAAATTTGTTAAACACTAAACACCAGAGCTATAAAACACTTGCCCAAAATTCAAGTCCAGGGCGGACTTTGCGCCTTCATTAGAAGCGACAAGTCAAATCACATTTGGTTTTACTCACATAGCCGGTCTAGAGCCAGTGACACCGAGCCAAGCGGTTTTTTACCGGGCCATAGTTGTTGTGTAAGTGGTCTGATCTCCTTGTTTTTCTGTAGCCCACTTAGACATCCAATCTCCTCCTCCGCATCAAGCATGTGGATAATCTGAGAGCGGGGGGCATTCAACCCATCATGCCGGATTCCGGAACCATGATTTGCAGGGCGGATCAAAAAATGGCGGAGTATTTCAAACTCCGTTTCAAGGCAACCGTGAGTGACATTTCATCGACTACATCAAGCTCCAATAGTCGAATGCTCGCCTCGCTCAAAACTGGGAATGCCCTCACGTACACACGCGCGCGCCTTAGAAACTAGTGTAATTTGATGAATTTCCACTTTCCCGCCTGTCTCGCACCACCATCACCACCTCTCTCATCAACGCTCGCCCAATTTCCCCCATCTTCAAATCTCTTTCAACCTGACCTCATCAACCTCCAAATCACAACCCAAACCTCTCCAAAAACCTCACCACCCTCTCCCCAACCACATCATACGCCTCCTCCGGCAGGAAATGTCCCCTCCCGTCTTCAACACCCACCACCTCCAATTCCACCCCATCCCCCACCCACTGATCCCCCTTCTTCTTCTTTTCTTCCCCCTCACTCTCCCTACAATTAACAACCCCCCTCCAAACCCCCTCAACATCCACCCCCCCACCCCTCCCCAATTTCTCCCAACTGTACATCACCAACGTATCCACCTCCAACCTCCTCCCCTGCTCCAAATCCTCCACCTGCTCATCCACCTCTTTTTGTGCACCAGCCTTATAATCCTCACACGTCCACCTCACCGTCTCCCCACTCTCAAACAACTTGACATGCACTTCCACCGCATCATCACTCATAATCCGCTCTTTACTATCGCTTGCCGACCCAACGAGCCGTAAATGCCCGCCGCGCACCCACTTATCTACCCCAAACGCTGTGATCATCGGCACGGCGAGCTCGACGTTCGCTAGCAGCGGCCAGTGGAAGTAGGTTTGGGAGTTGGTAGGACAAGAGAAAAAGTCCCATTGGCATTTGGTGGGGAGGATGTCGAGCATGATTAGGCCGGTTATGGTCAAGTTGTGGTGTGAGAAGAAGGACTTGGTTTCGTCGGGAAGGGAGGAATCAGGGGAGGTTTTGGAAGTGGCGTCGACGGCGAGACGGTGGCAGATGCGAGCGCCGCGGTCGTGCCCTGCGAGGATTACTTGTCGGGGTGATGATGATGATGATGGTGATGAAGAAGAAGAAGAAGAGGAAGAGGAAGAGTTGGTGCTGAAGACCTGGGCGAGAGCATCGAGCAGGGCGTGGCCGACGGCGCGCTTCGTGTGGTCGCCTGTACCGGCGGAGATGGGGGTGCTGATGCCGTAGCCGGGCAGTTCGGGGATGAAGAGGGAGACTTTGGGGAGGAGGAGGGGGACGAGGTGGCGCCAGCTGTGAGTGAGGAGAGTTAGTTCTACCTTGGAGGGGGGAATGGGCGGTGTGGACAAGGAGCAAGGGAAGTGTTGTGAAGTGAATTGGTGAGGTAGGTCATGGCATGTCGTGTCAGGGCAAGTGGTCAGTAGGTAAGTATCTACATACATGAATGCAGATTGAGGATATCCGTGAATGAGAGTGAGAATCGGACCGCTGTCGCCCAGGTCAGAGGTGTAGCTCACCACTTCCGAGCCGGAAGCAGTGGGCGTTACGTTCCGTTGCAGGGCGGGATAGAAATTGTAGGTTTCGACAGGCTCGGTCATTGTGGGTGGATGGCTGGTAGTTGGTGATGATGCTATGATTCAAGTTGATGGTTATTGTATGGGGGTGGTGAGATGGCTTCTTATATGGGAGTAACCTAGCGTGAACCGTCAACGTGGTGGGAAGTCGAGAGTGGAACCTCGGCTCACCGTGATCTCGCCACCAAACCGGTAGTCTACTGTGTCGATCCTGAATAACAAGTAGCCAAGAATTGGTGTGATAGCAACTTCCATACCCCCTTGAACAGTTTACTATTATGTTCGGGGGATGGTGATGATGCTTCATTAACTCTCTTTCTCCTATTTCGACCATACGTTGACGATTCGCTCCAATACTGTTTCACTCCAGTTTATTCTACAGTTTTCCCCTGGAAACCCGGTTAGCTTCTACTTGCGGAGCGCTATTGACCACTTTTAGGCTGGTTAGGTGGCATTCCTGGCCGGAACAGCACCGGGTTCGTTGTTGACCGCTGTGAATGGAGTCAAGTTCGATACAAGAGTGTGGGACACCCGGTGGGACATGATCAATAGTTGTTCTTAGCCTGGTTTTGGCGTGGTGTGGGCCAATAGCAGCGCCATAATACTGAGTTCTTTCCCTTGTCAAGACGTTGCAAGTCTCGCGTTAACAAACTGTTAAGCATTGATATGTATATCTTCTATCCTCCTCTTGACGGCCGAAACCGATGAAATGATGCCCGGGCGGGACAATATGCGCTGCGTCTTTCCAACCCCTACAACGTTTCAAAGGATATCCTGTTTAAAGATCCATGCTCCCCATAAGCCAAACGTGGAGAGGACGAGCATCAGCACAGCGTCCATCTCGCGGTAGACCCTGTATCAAATAAGAACTAATACTCATCGTCTTCATCCCCTTCGTCCTCCTCGTCCGCCATATCTATGATGAGCCCGCCTTCGTCATCTTCATCCTCGTCATCATCCTCACCCGATATCTCATTCCCCTCTTCGTCATCCTGGAAATCCGCATAGTTGCGCCCATCGTAATCATCCCCGCTAACACTGCCGTCATCGTCGTCGTCATTGTCGTTATCATCGTCTGAGTCCGGGATAGGGTTATTTCGGCGATGGAGTTCCAGCTTTTCTGCGAGGGTCAAAGGCCTGGCGGGGGGATCTTCTTCGTCCGAGGAGTCGTCCGAGTCCGAGTCATCACTATCGCTCGTGGATGATTTGTTTTCTTCGTCCTCATCCTCGTCATCATCTGTTTCGGAAGCCGGGGGCCGTAATTGGCGACGGGACCTATTTTTCTTAGGCATCGTTACCTCCTCCTCATCTTCCTCCTCGTCGTCCTCCTCGTCTGACACGACTTTGTATAGATGCCTAGCTTTCTGCTTGCGTCGTTGCCTCACCATCTCTTCTTCTTCTTCGTCTTCATTGTCATCCGAGATGACCACGTGGTCTTTGGGTCTTTCACCAGCCTTACTGCCCTCAGGACTTTGCTTCTTCTCTGTGGTCGACTCGTAGCCCATCTGCTCATCCTCATCCTCATCATCCGAAAGCACAACCGTGGCGCGGGCACGGCGTCGACTCTCATTGCTGATACGCGCTGCTTTCCTGGGTGGTCCATCGTGTTTCTCTTCCTGTTCCGAATCCGATTCCAGAACCCGTTTCCTGCCGGAGCCCTTGGAGCGAGAGGGTCCAGCTCGGGGTGATGAAGTTGACTCATGATCCATCGTCGAGGAATCTGACGGCTCCATGCTGGAGAAGCGAGCACTGTCGCTTGGACCGAGGTGAGGATGTTGATGGGCGTTGTGTCCAGAATGAGACGCATCATCGGAGTCGTCAAGGATTTCAATCGGGCCATTGTCAAAATCAGCTAAACGTACTGCATGGAATGGCCCTTGTTCTTCTTCATCGCTCGAAGCTTCCTCCTCCTCTTGGTCGCTATCATCTGTCACGACGACAAGATCATCTCCACTTTCCGACCCCGTGCCCCCATCCTCGCTAATTTCTGAATCATCGATCCCTGAGCTCTCATATTCATCGGGCTCCTCATTCACAGACTCGTCGTCCAAATCATTGTCAGAGAAACTCCAGTCGGTGTTATCGTTTTGTTTCTTGACGAGCTTCTCAAAGCGCCGGATGCCGGTTTCATAAGAGAAGCGTATGAGGGGTTGAAATATATTTTCCGTGTCATTGCCTTCATTCTGTGTGTATTCCAGTGATCGAAAAACGAAATCGCCTAGACCTCCAGTAATGCTGTTGTCGACAGCGAACTCGCGTGTCCTGGAGGGGTTGCGCCAGCAATACATGTACTCAGCATCCTCTCCAACGCCTGGCTCCTCTTCTTGGGTTCGCACAAAATAATGGCGATTCTCTCTGTTTGCGCACCAGCGCAAAAGCCTTGCCGGACAATCGGCATCGTCAATAACGCAGAACACCCTGCTCAACTGAGGGCAAAATTCCTTGAAGTATTGTTCGTATTCAGGCCGCTCCGATAACAGATAGGTATCAAGGCAGCGGCCTAGCTCGACGTCGATCGCCAGGTTCCGAATTTGATCTGAAAAGCCTGGTATTTGGAAAAAGGGAGGGACAGCTTTGCCGCCTAAAATCACGACGTCATTCTTGCAATCCCAACGGATCGTATTTCGGCCATTACGGAAGGTGAGGAGGTCGGGAAATTTCTTGAGCACATGCTCGCGGCTTTCTCGGTGAACAGCCGACATGACACGGGCGGGGACCGTTTGCTGCTCAAGTATATGACTCTCCCAAACTTCCAACGGATTGTTGGGCAGGTTAGCTAGCTGGAAGAGGATGCGGAACTCATAAACGCGTGACTTTGCCGTCAGGTCGGGGCAGAACATCTCCCAGATGCGCTGGCGAAGCTCATAAGGCAAGAGGGTAAACTTTGGGAAAGACTGGTGATGGTTGCGCCTGGCTTGGCGAGAGTTGGGGTACTCGTAGGTGTGTTCGGCAAGGTCGTCATCGTCGTCGTCGTCGTCGTCTTCATCCTCGCTTGAGTGGGACTCACTTGCTTCGAGGTCGAGCATCGACGCCAGAAGCTGGATACCCCTACTGTTACGTGTCAAGACTTCTGAGGAAGAGGCCTCATCGCTGGAGTCGTCCGAGTCCGAAGAGGCTTCCGAATTGGACGCCGAATCAGAGCCAGAGTCGGACCCGGACTCGTTGTCATTGCTCGCGTCCGAATTGTGTTTGTCTAGGTCCAGGTGATGATCTTGATGGTCGGACTCATCTGACGAGGAGTCGGTAGCCATTTTGAATAGCCCAGCCGATTGGATTATAATGGCACGTATTGTGTGTTGTCTTTGTTCTTCGCGTAGATGTCCTGGATGTTGTTGTGGAATGGGAAGACTACCTAACCTCAAGGTATGGAAACGCGTGCAGCAGTGTACTGGTGAAGGTGGGGCTCCGTTCACATCTGCCGGAAAGCTTAAAATCCCAGGGAACGGAGCCTGCCGAGGGATTGGTAGGGGTCACTGCAGTAAAATACAGCGAATGTATGGAGTTCTGACTTCTGCCGGGAGGTGCACGGTTACACTCGGCCGCCGAGGACAGTGCAGTGCGTTTACACCTGACTACTGGGGGAGGTGCTACTGGAGCTCCAGCAACGTCCAGCAACGACAACCTGACCTGAATTCAGGGCAGATGGGAACCTTAGAGGTAATGGCAGGGACTTTGTACCCGATCGCAGGTGTCAAGTCCTTGAGAACAGACGACATACCTATCGTATATTCAAATATGGGCTTCAGGTCACTAGTATATAGGTCTCTAAGCGGCAAGCCATAAGACATCTCAAAGCTCATGACAGTTTCCTGTGTCAAGAGAACTTGAAAATCTACACCTCTCCCCCAGCAGCTCAAGCAAGGGATGGGCTATTTTATCCCCAGATGTAACTGTAGAGGTATCCTTGGAGGGTAATTGAAGCATCCAAGAACCTGCTCAGCACAAAGTGGCATCTGATCCGATGCTCCTGCTGATCTTCCTGTCACCAATAAGCCTTCCATGGGAGAGCCCTCCTCTCAAAACCTCCTACATCACTTCCCTTGCCCGGCCGAGGGCTCGTGTTGCCGCATCCGAGGTCACACGTCTGAGCAATCCGGAGGCCTAGTACAGAGCTACACGCACAACATGATCACCATGCTTATGTAGGCGTAACGCAGTGCTCATGATCCACCACTTATTCTAGATGTCCGGGAAGATGTCTCTTTTTTCCCCCACGACAGAACTTGCTGTGGACCGCACTAGGGTATACTCCTGTGTGTTTACCCTTGACGTGGGAAATGCTCCGAATGTTGGTTGACGACCTGCGAGGCCAGTACAGAAAACCAAAAAGTACGCATCCTTTCTGCAGAGGCCGTCAGGCAAGGGATAACTCCTCTAGGGCGTCCTCCTGCGTCATACCACCGCAGCTTGCGAAGCAAGAATCGATGGGATGATCAGGAGCCAAAGGCAGATAGATTGTAGCCATGGACTTCTACCCCCATAAAAGAAGAATCCATTCATAGGTTCTCCTTAGGCCCACCCGCAGTCCCTGCACCATCCCCAGCTACTCTTTGTCCACCCAAACCACCAGGCGGCATCCTAATCCCCAACGCCGCCATCCTCGCCGCCACGGCAGCTGCCCCACCGCCGCCGCCGCCGCCAGGCCCTCTACCACCACCTGGATGCGGCGCCGACGTCGCCTCGTCCACTTTGCTCTTCTGCAGCGAGAACGCGGGCGCGATCCAGTCGCCACAGCTACATCTAAACCCTTGCCACGTGTACCTCCCCACGGACGCCAGACACTTTTGGTTCGGACACGTTAATCTGCCCTCCAGCTCACCCTGCTCCAGCGTCGGGCGCATCCACGACAGGGCTTCGACAAAGTAATGTCCGCAGTCCCTTTCTTTATTTCCTTTCCCTTGGTGCGGGACAATAAACGGCTTCGTCGCCAGTGTTCTTCGACACTTTTTGCATCTCAGACTTAGTGACGCCGCACCGGCCCCCGCCTCCGCCTCTTTGGAGCTGTTGTTCTCAGCAGCAGCAAGCTTAGCAGCCTCCTCATCCTCGAACCGGATCCAATCCGGCACCCGGCCAATCCTCGTTGCGTCCTCCACCTCGCGCTTGTACAACCATCGCTGGTAGGCAGGGTGGTTCTCGACCGCGTCGTCGCCTGATTCGAGAGGACAGCCCATGGTCCACCATAGCTCTAGCTGCTCCATGAACCCGTCGTTGGGCTCGGCGATAGGTCGTGTCTGTCGCACCCAGTTGATGGCCTGCGTGACGGCGCGGCGCGCGGGCGTGGACGGGTCGGACCGCCCGAAGCGGTGCGGGTGTTTCCAAAGGAGGTAGGCGACGATGGCGGAGACAGAGCGGGACTTGCCCATGGCGCAGTGGACTAGGACGGCGCCGGGTTTTGTTTGTTGTTGTGATGTTATGGTGGCGGTGGGTGGCACGGCGGTTATGGCTTCGGAGTCCTGCGCTGCCTCGTCGTCGCCGTTGATCTTTGCGCTCGCGCTCGCGGGCGTAGCAAGTACCGGCGCATTATCCCCTCCGAGTGCTATCGAAGCTGCTTCGTCACCGTACAACCCGCGCTCAATGAAGCGGACCATCTTGGGGAAATGAACCAAAATATCGGCCTCCTCCACGTCGTCGATGTCGATGCTAAGATGTTGGACATTGCGAAACGCGGGGTCGGCAGGGAGGGTGTAGTTGATGACGGATAGGATGTGCGTGATCTTGTGTTCTTCGATTAAGCGGGCGCGGCTGACACCGAAGATGCTGTTGCGAAAGACAAAAAGGCCATGTTAGTTCGTTTCCCTTCTCGCGAGTAAAACAAAGAGAAGCAAGGTAAGCTTTCTTGCGACAGGAGGATGGGATGGATGGATTGGCAGAGAGTCCGGACGGAGATTGTCGCGTGCGACTTACTTACCCTCCTACGAAGAGATCTTCGCGCCCATTGATGCGATTTAGCGCCATTGCGACCGGTCTTTCGGGTCACTTTTGGATATTTCCAAGGGCTTTGGGGTTCTGTTCGATTTGGCGCTACCAAAGAATCCAGCACGTCAAGTTTGTGAAGCAATCGCAAGGCGAGTTGCTCGTCCAGCTTCTGTCGCGTATCAGTAAATTTCGAAATCATTTGTTGCCCCTCATCGCTGCGGGAATCCCGAAATGGGTTGGTTACCGTGGATACGAATCATGTACCATCACATGGAGAGCTACATAGAACGGTGTACCGTACAGTGACCGTCTTGAAATACGTGGTTCCTGTTTAGCGAAAGTGTGTATTAGCCGTCCGTATCTTACTATCCATTACACGGTATTGTACCCTTGACTCGGCATGAACGGGCGAACATACTATGACCGTTTCATGCATCCAGTACCGTACGATTGTTTACCTATCGCGAACCTTGGTCGTTCAATCCACGTCCGATACAGGCGTGTTGCATGCTCGGGCATGGGCAGTTGTACCCCCCAGTTCCATCATGCGGGTACCTTGGATTGTATGTACTGACACAAATTGTGACAAACAAACCCTGAGTGTCAGAGGACGGATAACAGAGGGGATGGCCCAGGGCGAAGAACAAACAAAAGTGACCGACTGCCCTGCACGAATCAAGCAACCAACCAACCCCCCAATTTTCAAATTCCATCACAGACATTTTTGGTAGGGCTGTGGCAGTGGGGTAACCTGACGGCGCCCGCTTCCTTGTAGGGCTGAAAAAGACATGCAAGTTGTCTCACATTCCGCCCACAACAAACAGACAATGTAGAGGTACCCAACCGCCGCCTGAAAGAGCATCCATAGCCAAATGGTCATTTCAGACTGTACCATAGTCCATTCTTCCTTCAAATCAGTCATGTTGACATAATCACATTTCGCTACTACAAGTCTGCTCTCTGACTGCTACTATTCATCCGCTACTATTCAGCCGCTGCCGCTGTCAAGTCTCCCATAAAAGTACATCGATTGCTGCTCCTGACCATGACCACACCAAAGACGATGTGTCAACTTTTGCCCGCGCCCTCAGAGATATGTCCCGCACGCAACGCCGCAACCCTACAGCTGAAGACTTCACACCCAAACTCCGATAAAAATCCTCAATCCCGTAAATGCTCCAATTAGATGACGTCCTTTCCCTCCACGGCCCCTTGTGCCGCATGATCTGAAAACTAATACCGCTCTGCATGGCGATATCTGACCTGACCAACATGTCACAGCCATAAATGATACCATCCATCACCCCCAACCGTTGCCCCTCCAAATAGCAAGGCCCAGTTGCTTGTATCCAAAATCACAACATGTTGCTTTCCCGCTTCAACGAGGGGCTGCTGGTCCTTCGTCCATCATGCAAGCGTTTTCAAGCATATTGGTCCATTTCCCACTCGTACCGGCATGACTGTGTTTGAGGTGTTGCCGGAAGTGGTCTGCTCGGAAGAACTTCTTGCTGGCATTGCACTCGCGGAACTTGTGCACGTCCTGTAGATGCCGGATACGGTCCTCCCAATCTTGCTCACTAGCAAAGATGCCTGCAGCATTGCGTCCAGTACGGGCAAATTCCTCACCACAATAACCACACGTATCAGCCTCGCCTGGCCTCGTGCTACTGTCGTGGAAGGCACGATCGTATGTCTGAAGCGCTGAGCATGACCAGCTATGACGACGGACGTGCAGGGAATTCTGATGGCGTTCCGCCTCGTTCTTGTTTTTGAACCGGTTCCCGCAAAACGAGCATCCGTACTGTTTCTCTGCTTCGTGTAGCCTGGTGGGAAAAGTGTCTGGGTTAGTAACGTGCGTCGCTGGACGGAAATGATGCAAAACCTACTTCAAGTCCTCTTCCGTGTCGAACTTCTTGGGCTTTTTCGGGCAGCATTCGCACATGTATGGGCCCTTGAGCTTAGCCGCTACGATATTGCTAGCATTTTTCGGAATCTCGGCAAGTTTCCTGGAAATCCCCAGCGTCCTATTGGACTGCTCAACCGATCTTTGCGTATAGTCACCCGAAATCCTAGGATGCGGCGACTGTGCCGCACCTGTCCGGCTGATCGACGATCTTGGTGAAGCGGTGAGGCTGATGGGTGTGGCATACGGGCTCCCATTACCCATCACGTCTGTCGGCGACACCCCGCCAGGAGATACACCGTTGGGAGACAAACGGCCAAGCGAACTGTTACTTGCTATGCTGCTAGCAGTCAGATTGCCAATATAACTTCCGCTGCGACTAGCAGCCGACAAGCTAGAGACAGACCCTTGTGAAACGACAGTCAGCCTCGGGGTAGGCGATCCCCTGTTCAGGCCTGACGTATCACTACATCTATCAATCGGCGTGGGCGAGGCCGGCCGCTTTTGACCGGATTGATAGTAGCTTCTTTCTCCGCCCATGTCTCTCCCCGCATGGTACAGCTGCGATGGCGAATAGTGTGATGACCCAGTCTTGTGTCCTCGCTGCCAAGACCCGCTCTCCGTTTCTCTTTCGTTTTCCCGGTGCCTTTCCCTCCACGAATCTTCGATCTTCAGAGTCCGCATGCGTGTTGTCTCCTCCATTGGAAAGTCATTGTCCTCGTCGTCTTCGGCATTCAGAAAGCCGTCATCCAGCATCAACGAGCTCTTTGTCCTGCGCGCTCTCAGTGGCGGAGCACGGTTGAAACCGCTGTTGTCAAACCCGTCAGTAGGGCGAAACCCGACAATAGCTGGGCTTGGTTGACCTGTTTGGGGAAACGGGCTGGGAAGCGAAGATGCCGTAGTGGGCGACGAGGCAAACCCCGCTGTGAAAAGCCCTGGCTTTGACCGGTGTGGGAGGGAAAGCTGTGGCAGACTGGCGTGGCTTGGACGAGAGCTATGTGCGTCGTTCAGGGAATTACTGAGTCCGCCGCTTTTGTTTAACCTGTTCAACATTGTCTGGTCGATCGCTGCGGTACTGGGACGAAACCCTTTCATGGCGTGGAGGCCGAAGGGCGACGATAACTGCGATGATCTAGGAAGAGTCACAGACAAGTTAGTTTCGAGGCAATGGCAAACGACGATCATGGAAAAGCAAAGGAATCGCAGTACCTGACACTATCAAAACTCTGATAGCCCTCGTCATGGGGGTTTTCGTGTTTGTTCGGAAGCGCTCGCCGTTCAAATTTGAATGATTCGCTCTCAAGGCTGTTGGGACCGTCATTGCGCATGAATTCGGAGTCTCTGTAGTGTTGTACATTCGGATCGACGGGGCCATCGACAGGGGCAAGTCGTGGAGGAGGTAGCGGAGGAGGCGCATTGATCCCGTTCCCTTCTGAGCCGTGAATCGCCATAGGGGTCGAAGCGGTCGAAGGTGAGAGATTATCGTTTAGTGGGATGCCAAAGGGACGACTCGCAAAGTGCTCCCGAAAGCCACCATCGCGGCTTGATATAGAGGGAAGGGGCCCATCGTCAAAATCCCTCGCGGCGCTGGTATAACGGGGATGCGTCTGCATTGGTACTGCCCGTGCTGCCATGGCAAATGGCAGAGGATAGGCGCAACTATGCACAGGGACTGCTAATGCCACAACCGGGAAGCTGAAGTACGAGGCGATGTAGCCGCGTGGTTGCCACCGTTAAATACGAACCAGCTCGAGCCAAGGCAAGGCAAGAGAATGCAAGGCAACTGCAGATGCGGCTGTAATGCGGAAAACAAGCCGTATAAATCCAATGTGACGTTTCGCGAATCGAAGGTCTCAGCCCTGGACCAGACAGGCGCGCGGTACAATGACAAGTGTTGGCCAAGAAAGAGGCGTTGTTGGAATTGGATCGGTGTTGCCGATGCAGCTGGTGTTGAACGGAATGCGTGATGTAGCGGGCGATTGGCTTTCCCGACAAATACCCTTCAGTTGGTGCGGTAGAATGCAAGAAGAATCGGATCGCCTTTTGGTGTGGAAGACAGGACTGGATTGAGGATGATGACAAAACAGACCAGAAAAACCAACTCCACCTCGTCGAGACAGCCGGTGGGTGTAGCTAACAGGGTGCTTGGTGATACATATATAGGTGGTTATAGTCCGGGTGGTGGGCGGACTGGCAGGCCCTGGGGACCGTCGTCGTCGGCTCCGTAATGCCAAGCACGACAGGTACCTCGTTTGGGGTTGCGTGCTTCTGAATGGTGGACGCCCTGAGGTCCTGGACCTTGTATGAATATGTCGGTAGAGCGTGACTGTAGGGTTCCAGGTTGGCGGCGGCGGCGGCCAAGACACCAGACAGCACTCAGCAACAGACTGCGCAAGGTACGGTCGGTACAGGCAGTTAGTTGACACTGCAGGTTTATTGCGCGCTTGACTTCCACTTATTCTGCACCTCAGGCGGCTGGAGACACAACAAAAGCGGTGCCGTGGTGGTGGTCTGGCTGAGGCGATGATGGACGACTGAACTCTGGACGGACTCGGAGCGGGAGGACGACTGGCGACGGGAGGATTCAATTGGGCTGGAGGGGGGGATTTAGGCCATAGAAAAAGATTTGGCGGAGACGAGTTTCCGGTGGAAGAGGCCCGAGGCCATAAAGAGGAAGGAAGTCGGATTACGGAGAGGCTGTGGATACCTCTGGGGACGGTTCCAGTCGCCGTTGCTGGCAGCTGCTTCTGGTTGGCTAGTCGTCCTTGCCCCTGGGACCGTTCCAGCTGGCCTGCCAGGGGAGCGAAGGGTCGATACAGCGTGTATTACGCGGTATTATCCGGAATGCATTAGCGTAAGGCAGGTATTCACGTGTAATGCCTTTGGACAGAGATGGTAGCGGAATCGGCAAGTTCAAGTGTGGATTCTGGGGACATGGCATGGTACGTAGAGCCAAAAGTACAATGACCTGTTCGTTTACTTAGTGTAGTTAGTTGTCTGACGATATGGCCGCGTTACCCGACTGCTTGGGACGGTGAAGCAATTGCCAAGTTGTACATACATCTGTACAATAACAATCGAGTCGGTATGTCAAAGACTCAATTCAAGGTCAGGATTCCTTTGTCGTGCGCGAGGCCCAGACAGTCAAGCATGGACATAATACCTTGGCCAGAATCAGAGGCCGAAACGAGGGGAAAGGAAGGGGGTAGTAGGTAGGAGGGGACTACTGTCTCTGAACCTTGAATCATCCTCACCATTCATGTATCCATCCCCCGCACGGAGAGAGAGATGCAGACTGATGAGTGCAGAGGCGTATCTGCGCACCCTTGACGCGGGCATTCCCACGCTTTGGTTTCTGCCGCAAACTGAAGTCCAAACCCCGGTTGGCTCTGTCTGCAGCTTTCAGCCCTGGACAGGAGTGTCCAACGTAACATTACAGGGTTTCCATCTCAGCTGTTAGCGCTTTCCCAGCGTAACATCCAAGCACTCCCTTTTCCGCGCCATTTTCCTTCGGTTCGCTGGTCGCACCTGCTCCACTTTGCACTCGCTACGGCATTAGTTCCACAGGAAAAATGGATCCCGCACGCCCTAAGAGGCTCGCACAGTGATACTTACCCCCGCCAAGTGTATGGAATACATACACTTTTTACGTGCAAAGTACCGCTTGCCCTACTGGGTGCTTCTCTTTACCCCCTGATACATTTACGATTAGCCGTACTATTCTGTAAAGCCATTCATTCTGTTATCTGATCTGGTAGGGGAACAGAAACTTGGGCGAACGGAAAAGTTTCCGGTCCCTTTTTCATGTCCATCTTTTTGCACTAGTGTACAGCCTCAGCGATCGGCGGTCTGAAGAGAAAAGATGGAATGATTGTTGCTGTTAGGGCTGTCGTTGATCCAATCATCTTTGTCTTGTTGATTCAGCGTTGTCGCTTGGCCGAGAGTTGGCAGTACTACGGTTACGGTTTGATTTCCTTCCACTTGAACGGTATATGCGTACTGTACGTGTAAGGGAATGCTTTTTTACTTCTGTGGTAACGTAAACCTGGCGGCCTATCTCGATGGCAGCCTCAACCGTTTTGTCCACGGGGTTCTCCGCTGCTGTCTCTTAATATCTGCTGATTAATGTGCATTACTTACCCTCTGCAACTTGCACCTGGAGTATGGCCGACGAACAGCTTTCCCGATTGAATTTTCTAACCCCCAGATCTTGGTCATAGTCGCTTCTGCCACCGCCATCAACTCAAGCCTCGCCGGTCGAAAGCCAAGCATCGAGTCCACAACCCACTCTCTGTGTCTCATGGTCTACAGTCACATGAGGATGAGACTAAAGCTGATCGACATACAAGCGCCGGAGAAATGAAACGCCAACAGCGCGATTCAGTCGCTCGCTGGATGCCAAAGGACAACGGGTTTCACAGCTGTCCGGTCCTGGTTCGGTTCACCGACATAGCCGGCCGATCTTGAGGAGGGCCGGCACTGGCAGGGCTGGCCTTGGCAGACGGAAATTGGGCACCTTAAAAGGCTCCCGCGCCTCCGCAATGAGCCGTGGACACTTGATGGCTCCCCGTTCATATGCTGAAGCAACGGCCTGTCTGCCTGTGTGGATGACATGCTGACCAACGCTTCATCGTACCGTCCTTCTCCGTGTCTGTATCCCTTTAACGGTGAAAATGTTACATTTTAGCGCGGTAGGGATTAGCAGCCAATCGGCGGTTCCCCTTCTTAACGGTTAACATTTTGGAGCATGCAAATACCTCGAAAACTCCCGCATTTACAGCACTTTTAACATTGTAGTAAATATCATATACATATATATAGAAACAGGAATAGAAATCAACTAATATATTTTAAACCAAGATGAAGCTATTCCCAGAATTGACTAACGTAAGTAGGCCAGCTAGCAACACTCATGCTTATAAATTAAAATTTAATAAATAGTATACCCCAAAAATATTAAAACGCATAATTTCTTTGTTAAGTACGTAAATAAACTATTAGTCTTGAAAACAATTAATTTTCCATATTTTATTAAAGAGTATATTATATATATAGCCTACTTTAAGAATTATTCTCTCTTATAATATTTTACTGGTAATTCTCTAATATTTAATATTAGAAATTTATTCATAGATATATAGTATATAGTAGCAGTTTTCCTATAAAAAGCCCAAATCTCATTAATTAATTAACTTCGAAAATCTATATATATAGTCTATTACTTCTAATTAAAAAGAATACTAAACGGCTTCTCCCTCTAATTAAGAAAGAGGTTAGCTGTAATAACTTCTATATAATAGTAATATACTATTCGTATAGTATTTAATAAAAAATCCAATATAAGTAGTATACCTAAATAGAAGTTAGTAAATAATATTATAAATAATCTACAATGGTAATAATAGCTATACGTATTGTATGTATATAACTAGTTACCTACATCTACCCTATTTATATAGCTATTATATACCTATATAATTAGTAGTATTCAAACTTATTTATAACTCTTATTACTAAAATAGTTTCTTATAACGCCCTTACACGTAGGATAGCAGTAGTAAATATACTTACGTACTTCATCCCTAATATACTATATAAATAAAAAGTTCACTATTTAGTGATCTTTTATACAAAAATATACTATTCCAGTCTCTTAATCCTTATTTAGTAGGGATTACTCACTCTTTTTAAAATTAGGAACCGGCATATCTAATACCATCCAATATAGCGCTCCAAAGGGTATCTTCTCTTTTTTATTATTAATTTTTCGAAACTTAGCAAACTGCAGTATTGTATAATTAGAATATATTATACTAATAACTACAATATTCTTAGTACAAAGGTAGCACGCGAGAACGAGAGTAGTAAAAAGGTTATTAATAAAGATATAATAAACTGACCGGTAGGGTAGGCGGGGTAACCCAATTACCAACTCTACTACTACTATTTGAGTCGGTATTAACTTACTCTATTAAAATATTCAGTTAGCTAATTATTAAATAGATTTTGGTAGAGAATACTATATATACTTATTCGAATTAATAACGCTAACCGTATTATTATACTACCTCCAATTAAAAAAGTAACTGCCAGCCGTAATAACCTAGATTTTAATACCCTATAATACTAATTTATCAGGGATATAGACCGTTACTATACTTCTACTAGTATATTTTACTATCTTCTTGTTAATAGCAATATATTGTAGTAGAGTCCGTAATTTAAAACTAACTCTCTAAATATATTTATTGAAGTTGTATATTCTATCCTAAAGAGTAAGATCATCTTAAGTAGGATCCCATATGCAAAAGCGCCTTAAAAGCATTTCAAACTGAAAAAAAGGCATCTAATTACAAATTGGGTAATTCAGGCCCCCCTCTTTCTCCTACTAATACGAGGGGAGGTTTATTTCTATGTAGAGGCCAATATATAGTAGAATAGCAAATAGTATATATAGCTCTACAGCACAAATAAATACCTAGTACGTTTCGCGAGAGTAAGGGTTATTCTTACTTAGTAATAAAATTTTACAAAGGTTAATCTATTATACCTATTACTCTACTATACAGGGAGGGAAATATTAATAGAAGGCTAACAATATAGTAATAATAGTGGGGGGATAAGTAATTTAGTATATAAATATACCGCTGTTACCCTGGACCGTATTAAAAGAGAAATATTAAAAATTAATAAGGCTAACCCAAAGGTCTATAGGTTCGTAATCGATAATGATAGTTAAATTATTAGGTATATTATTAGGGAGCTTACTTATTAGCTAGTAGATATATTGCTAGTCCCACTAGTCAGACTGAAGGAAAGCTAGAAGCTCGTTACTAGGCGGTTTAGGGTAATCTTTATTACAGTCCTTATTGTTATAATTATTTTTAAAATCAGGGATAAAATTACCTTTGTTATTATTAGTATTTAATTTTAATTCACTAGAGAGAGGGAGGATATGTAAAGGTAAGCGATCTACGGGATTAATACTTACTAGAAGGTAGGCTAGCACCGGCTATACTAACTAGGCTAGCACTAACTAGGTGGCTGCCTTGCTGGGAAATAAATTCAAAATTACTGAAAGATCC